TTTTATTAATTTGAAAAAGTCCATCGAGTTCAATGCTGAACTGAAATTGATTTTATACTATTTTTGGGGACGGATAGAGCTTTCTTTGGGTGGTATTTATAACCACTGAGGTTTTTTAGTTATTTCTATAATGAAAAAAGTACCAAAAATTTCAAAAAAAAAACTGTTTTCCCTGCGTTATGTTAAAAAAACATTTATTCTTTCCCAAATTTATGGTAAAATATAAAAGATGGGGTCATGTCGGGTAAATATAGGTAGAAATATGGACACCGGCACTCCAATGGCAAATCAGATATGTCTATTTATTGACGTACATGCATAATACACTCAGTGCAACGTTTTGAAATCTCATCATGCAGAACTGCTTCACCAGCTTCCCTCCAGCTACAGAAGCCAGAGAATGACAGCTGAATGCGGAAGTAAATTAATATACATCACTTCCTGCATTCAGAGAACGGGGGAGAGATCAGAGGGAGATCGTGTTATGATCTCCCTCTGATCTCCAGTGACCGAGCCGCTGTGCGGGTCCTGGGCCTGCACTGGGCACAGCGGAGCTGGGGAGGGGGCGCACACCCACATGCATAATACAAGCGATCCAGTGGCTCTACAGCCGCCTGACTGCTTGTATGTAAACAGCCATCGCTGTTTACAATTTTAAGCAGTTTTCCCACTCGTGTGCGCCGCACGGGAAAACTGCTTAAAAATGAGCGGGAAAACTGCTTAAAAATGAGCTAGACAAGCGAGGATGTCTAAAAACACCCACTCACATCCAAGAAGCTGTTTATTACAATGGCCGGCCGGGAAGCAGCTAAAAAAAAAAAAGCTGTGCTTACTATGCCTGGCAACCTCCCAGCTGCCTACGTGACATGCAGCACTGCCTGAAGGGACATGTAAGACCATTTGATTGAAAGCGGAGGCAGGAAGCGCCTCTCTGTTATTGACAGTCACGGAAGGGCAGATTGGCAGCATGCTTTCAGGATCTATTATGAATCATCTAACTGCAGGCAATTTTAGAAAATCTTCTTTTTCACATTATTTATAATAACATATGTTACTTTAGAAACTTTATTTGTGGCCAATCAGTAATTTTATTGTGCATCATAAGTATCGCTTTGTCCAGCCCACCTGCCTGGACTGTGTAGAGCACATATGTCAAACACAAGGCCCGCGGGGCGAATCCGGCCCACCAAGCCATTTCATGTGGTCCTTGCACCTCTCCTGCTGCTGCATCTCACCCCTCATCTCCACCCCCACCTCTTCTCAGCAGTCAGCAGCAGAAAGGAGAACAGAACTCCTCCTATAGATCCTGCACCTCTCTGTGCAGCCGCAGCACCCCCTCGTCTCTGCCTCCCCTGGTCTCCGCATTCAGCAGACTCCGGCAGCTGACTCCAGGCCTCCTCTGGTCCTTCTCCAGACCCTGCATTTTCGGTTTCCCTGCTCCGCCCCCAGCTTCCCACCGGCAGCATCACGAGGTAAGGGGGTGCACTCTGATGTACGGGAGGGTAGAGGGACTTTTAACTTCTGATA